TACTGTGTGTGGGGTGGAGCATGGCTTGATTGAGCCACACCTTCATTGCAGCCACACCTTTACATTGCTGCAGCTAGCTAGCAGCAGTGCAGCAAATATGCTGGAGCTCTTTGTCTAAAAAAACAAAAACAATTCTCTGTCTGTCTCAAAACATTCACTAAGTTTTAATAAATCTAGTGCATGCTGAAGCTTCTTCTCTGTCTCAAAACTTTCTCTTAATTTATTGAAACTGTTATATACAGATTGTGTCGAGGGTATGCACTTTAGTGCTCTCGTTCATTCATTCTGTACAACTGAAATTTGTTTTTAATAAACAATAACTTTAGCACAGCGTGTTCTAAGCTCCTAGATCTTTCTTTTTGACGTGGAAAAGTCTTTCTTAACTGTTTTGTGTTGCTCAAATACAAGTGCTAGGTACAGAAGCTTCAAAGTAAGAAAATCGAGTAGTTGGGCCAAGTTCCGTTGTGTTGGCACTTTAGAGATAGCTGGTAGCATTTTTCAGTAGATTAGAACATGGCCTTCAAAAATTATGAACAGATTTTTCTAAATCTTACTTGATGAAGAGTTATACTTACTTGAAATTGTTGAGGTCACTCGTTTGTGCAACGTTAGAGCAGCTATTTGCTGGGTTATAGGTACTAAAGTACCTATACTATCTCAAATATACAAAGGCAGCAACTTTTTTTGTCAGCAAGTTTATCATATATTGCTGATTAGTAAAGAAAAAGTGAAGCTTCTTTCTCACATGGTCTTCTTGCTGCCACTCATGGAATGCCACACCTTTCAATCTACATGCATGGGAGGGGCTGGAGCTGCTTGCATGTATGTGCTGCAGTGCTGCTACTTCTGCAGGTATTCAAGAGCAAGTGCAACTGTAGGAAGCTAGTGTTGAGCAGACTCTCTTCATGCTGATAATCAAACAGTTATTGAAGTGCGGGCATGCACCATAGCAGCTATAGGAGCGAGGCCATGCACCGTAGGTGTCTCGTTCTTCCAGCGTTTCTTCTCCTTTAACTTACTTTACCATCTATTGTACCTCTACAGTGGTTGCTGCTACCTCCATTTATCCTTTTCTTGTTTTTGGTGCCTGTTTTCAGCTGGTATAGAGCTCGGAATACGGGTGAATCAACGAGTGTACTGGCAATGAAGAGCAACTAAGATTGAGAAGGCTGTGGAGTGATATAGCAAGAATTATCCTCAAGAGAAAGCTCCTGGTTGAATATTAGTAGGTCTAGAGAGCTTGATATGTTTTGTTTTATTTTTAAAATAAAAAAACATTATTTTTTGACTAAATGTAATGAGATGCAAATGATATTCATCGGAGTGACGCAAACAATTCGTCATGGCGGCTCCTTTGATCTCAAGCGGAAGAACCCGTTTAGAACCTTCCAGAGTACCTAGAAACTCAAAAATTAGTAAGGATTTTCGGAAAAACTCGTTATGCAGCTATACCAAATTTCAATTTGCTAGCATTAGTGACAAAAAAGTTATAAGGGGTGGTGGTGGTTTCTTCTCAACTGAAACTGACTGTAGTGTATTTTTAGTAAGCATTAGATATTAAAGGGAAAATCCCCAACACCCACACACTTCACAACACAAAATGGCCTCCTCTTCAACCCCACCTTCTCCTCTTGATTCCAGTCCTAGAGAAGACCTGTGGGCTGAATGACTGGAACCATTAACAAAATGGCAAACCTTTGGCCTGTTCTTACCAGGAATAAAACAAAAGGACATTGATAAGATTGAAGAGGACAAGACTGGAGTGGAGAGTAGGAAGATGGGACTGTGGACTAAATGGACTGGGGTATATCCACCTGGTACATGGACTGATGTCATTAGTGCTCTTAAGAGGCTGAAAGAGAATGCACTAGCAGCTGACATTGAAGAGAGACTGAGGAAAGGAAAAGTATTTGAAATTAAAAGTGAGACATTAAAGGGAGGGAGGATTATTGGAGCAACTTAAATACAATTTTAACTCTAGATGACATGTATAGTGTACCACATATGCCATATATTTCGTAGTAATTAAACTTTGCGTTTTGGAAAAATTCATGAAATTAAAATCCGCAAAATAATGTGCTGATTATATAGTAGGTGTGGTAATTACATTAAAATCGCAAAATTTTATACCCGCGAAATACATGACATATACAGTATTAGGAAATGTCATTAAAATTGAAAATTCTCACATTTTCAATATTGACAAAATTTGGCCTAATTTTGAGTAACTTAAAAAATTCATAAAAAATCCAATTTTGATTTGAATCAGCTTAAACTTTTTATGCAACATAAGAACATATATATGTATCAGAAAAATTATAAAAATGGAGAATTCTCTCCTTTTCAATTTTGGCGAAATGTGGGCGTGACCCAGTACAGGGACTTTGGCCATAGATAATAGAGTAAATGAAAGGGATTGGAAACTACCGTTCCCACCCGGTGATGCGGTTTTCGTCACCCCTGGTTACCTGGTTGGCAACGTCCGTGTTTATCTGCACTCCCCATCTCCTCCACAGTAGTTGTTGTGCAGAAAGGATCTCGAAGGAATATTGTGTGACTATTAGATAGTGCTTGCTTATGATATATCTTCTGTTCCACATAGAAAGTTTATGGCTACCTATAGCAAGGTTTTTGTTTCTATAGAGCTATTTTTCGACCAGTTATGGGTACACAAAGTCGGCACCTTTTTTGACACCTTTTCGCCTCTACAGCTGTCATGCTTTTGCTATTCTAGTGTTGCCTCATGTCATTCCATAGGTAATTGAAAGTTTTTTTATATTCTGACAAGCTTTTTAGAGTTTAGCTACAATTGTCTGCATTAGAGGGAGAAAACAGCAATTTTATGGGTAAAAGCGCTATAACACTCAAAATATTAATTTAAAAATATCAGATAAATAATAATTAACAGTGCAAAACATTGAACTCCTTGATAGTTGAGTTTCTTTTTCATCAGAGCATTCTTCTTGGAGTTATTCTAATTTTAATGGAAAAAATCAAGAATTTTGTGGTCAAAAAGTAACAAACCGCCTAGTCAGCATTTTTTTGCTTAGCAACAATACA